CACCACGCCAAGTGTCTGTTGTTACCCAGAATCATATGCAGCCACAGAAGGAAAGTCCCAGATGAGCTCTCTGTCTCCTGCTGCCTCTGAGCACTGGCAGCAAGCAAAAAGAAGAGGCTAGAGATACAGAAAACGGCACAGAGCAGAAACTACAGAAGCGGATTATCTCATTTAAAATATGTAAGTGTTGAAAAAAAAAAAAAAAAGATCAACCTACAATCGACAAAGTTAACTATGCTGGCTTTGAGATAGCGTTTAAAAGTGATGGTATGTTGATATTTGAAAACCATCTCTTCTCCACTCCATCATGCAAACATGGGGTCAGTTTTAACATTAAAAGAATGAGCACAAAATGTTCCCACTCGATTAAAAAATTTTAGCAGAGATAGTCTCAATCTTATACGCTACCACAGTGTGGAAATTTCTAAAAGTAGTTTTTTAAAAGGATCTTTCATTTGGTTCCTAGAAAACTTGTAAAATGAGACATTAGCATGCCCTCGCACATACATGTATGTGTGTTTCACTGCTGCACAGTATATGTTAGCCAATGAACTGCCTCACAATTCAAAAATGAATCTGTAAAATTGCAAACACATCCTTGGTGGGATTACAGCCAACCAGACATCTTGCCAAAGTCCCGTTTCCACTTGATTGAAAAGACTGATGGGAAATGAGAACTTCCCCCAACACTTTGTGTGGTTTGATTTATATGTGCTCTGGATGGCACTGGAGACAAGAAAGCATATCCTGAACGGGTTTTCCTTCATAGCAGATCTGATATACTGCAGTAAACAATGGAAACCTAAATGTAGAGAAATGGGGAGAGGGGAGGAGAGACAAGATTAGATCATGTGATTTAGTTCTTTTGTCCTGCCAAACAGGTTGCAGATTAGTTAGTGTGCTACTTGGCAAACAAAGTGACAACCTTCTTCACACCTTCACTATCTATTCAGCAAAGAGCATTTGAAGTGTGACCGTGAGGTGTGGCTACAACCCAGTGTACACCCTCTGCCTGATCTAAGGTTGGAGTGCAAGCCCTACAAATAAGTTACGTCGTAATCCTTGGGGTGGGGGGGCATTGGTGGTCATTTACAGATGAGCTGTGGTGCAGGAATGGGTCCAAGTTTCTGCCAGTATTTTCAAAGACTGGAAGACAAATTTTAAACTGTAAGGAGGTTATTGCTCTCCCTTCTCCAAAAAAGATCAGTTGCAAGGAGACAAGGCAGCCCACACATCACCATAAATAATTCAGACCTGCAACACTGCTGTAAAGAATCAACGTGGGGACCCACAATTAGCAAAGCACTGATCTCATGCTGGAGGCTGGATAGGCTTTGCCTTTCCTTGTAAGTGTGAACACAGATAGAAGGGAAAGTATGAAAGGGATGAGGGTACAGAAGTGTGGGCTACTAATCCACTGGGAGAAAAGACCACAGCTTCTCAGCACATGGCTGGTTCATCAAAGGTTCTTTTTTAATGGCAGAAATTACTAGGGAAATAAGTAAGTTCATTTTAATCAGGCACACACACATAGATATTCAAAGTGAGCTTGACAAAATGAATAGTCTTCAAAGGCCATTGGGAAAATTAACTGGTAGAACCCTATAATAACTTCAGTTACAGAGCTCAAACAGTCCTGCTGTGGCACTATAGGATAAGCACTAGATAGCTAACAGCAAGGTCAGCAGTTCAAACCCACTAGCTGCTCCTTGGAAACTCTATACAGGGTCACTATGAATTGGAATTGACTCGATGGTACTTAACAACAACAACAACAATGACAAACAGTACTGATGGATCACACTTGTGAGATTCAATCACTATGGGTCCACCACCTGTCTGTCAGTTTGTTGCACTGTGGACGCTTGCGTGTTGTTGTGATGCTGGACGCTATGTCACTATGATTTTAAATATCAGTATGGTGGACAGGTTTTAGTAGTTTCTGATCTAAGTCAGAGTAGGAAGAAAGGTCTGACAATGTACTTCCAAAAGTAGCCAACGAGAACCTTATGGATCACATCAGAACACTGTCCAATTTGCTGCTTTGGAAATGTCATCAGGAGGGATTAATTGCTGGAGGAAGACATCATGCTTGGTGAAGTAGAAGCCCAGCAAGTGTGCCTTTTGGCGAGGACTGGAACACTAGATACAATGGAGGCAAGTTTCACCGGCTTGGTTGTACTTTTTAAAATAGAAGCTATGGCACCAAGGAAATCTGTATGTATACAGGGTCACTGTGAATCGGGATCGACTCGATAGTACTTAACTACAATGAAAAACAGTACCGATGGATCACACTTGTGAGATTCAGTCACTGTGGGTCCACCACCTACCTGTCTGTCCGTTTGTTGTACTGTGGAGGTACAGTACACCAAATGGTACATACAGAGTGACGCCCAGTCAAGTGTCAAGCCACAGATTCCTATGGAAAGCACATCTTGATAGCACATGGCTACCATTTAAAAACTGGCTGGAACCTCTGAGACTATGGTCGGTCCCTTCAGATCTGGAAATGAACTCACTCCATGGCTCAATTTTCAGCCAAACAATAGACAGGTCTATAAGGGGAACCATAACCCTAGGGACATATACACACATATACAGATTAGGATAATCTACCATTTAAGATCAGAAAGGCAGAATTTCCCCAAGGACAAAGTTTAGAAGGGTTAGGGAAAGAAGGAGTCATGGAAATGGGAAAACCAGGGAGGAAGTATGGTCAATGATGTTATAGTGTGGGGACTGCAATCAATGAGATGAAACAAAATGTGCAAGAATTACTGAATGCAAAAGTGATCTGATCAAAAAAAAGTGATCTGATCTGCAACCCTTCAATTAATTCACAAACAAAAAGTTTAAAAACAAAAAACTCTGGCTAGGAGCTCATCAACATCAAACGCCCAGGTATTTTCGAGGACTTAAAAGTAATAAAAACCAACTCCTGATAAATACGGTAATAGTTATTAAGGTAGTCCAGCTGTACATAAACACATCATTGACTCCAGCTAAGTCTATAAGGAAACTCATGCCTGTCAGACGTATTTTCCTTTTAGTCACAATTCAAAGGTAATTTTCCTCCTCTAGAGGCCTGTTAATGAACTTCCATCTCTGCTGGGCAGGTTTTTAAAGTCATTTCAGCAAAGTAAAGTGGAAATTAAAGAGGGAAGACAAATGCTCTGTCCACCCTCATTTTCAACTTGCAATATGGAAATCCATGGCTGATTATATTTGTATTGGGAAAAGGAGACTGAGCTGAGCTGCAGTGTGAGGTAAGGAGGAGTGGCGGGGAGCAGCAGACATCTGGACTGACCTGAAGGATGAAGAGGACAGGATTCTAGGTCGTGGCAGACACCACCCATAACCCAGAAGCCTCCTGGCTCAGAGAGACGAGTACGCTATGGATTAACCATAACCCATAGCATTAATACAGCATACAGCTCCCTGCTTTCCCGGGCTACCATACTGTCTCTCTCCCAAGAAGTATTATGGAAGAATTGGAGAAAGAGAGACAGAATGTGTTGCATAAGCACTGATTAGGCTTATGATTATCAAGGGAGGCTTGACAAGTGAGCAAGACAACAGGTGGCAGGGTAAGGCAGGGGCTGGGGAGTGGCCTCAGTGAGCATGGACAGCTTTCATGGTGCTGCTGCGGTGCATTCTTAAGGCGTGGCAAGCCAAGCTGAGCCAACTCCACCTTTAACACCTGGTGAAGGGCACTGGGGTCTGGGCAGTAACAGAAATAATACCAGTTGCTGTGGTGACCCAACTCATGGTGACCCCATGTGTGTCAGAGTAGAACTGTGCTCCATAGGGTTTTCAATCTTTTTAGAAGTAGACTGCCTGACAGGCCTTTCATCCAAGGAACTTGTGGGTGGACTTGAAGTGCAGGTTAGCAGTCCAATTTGTTAACCATTTTATCATGCAGGGACTCCAGAAATAATGTTGCTTAAGTGCCGTCGAGTCGATTCAACTCATGGCAACCCTGTATAGAGTTTCCAAGGAGTGGCTTGTGGTTCAAATCAACCTTGTAGTCCAGTGCTTATCCTACAGCATCATACAATATTCTAAGATGGTTCCAACCAAGTGTGCTTACATTCATCCACACACATGAACAAGGCTATTCATCAAATGTCAACACAAGTTACTCCTGATGGAGGAATCAAAGGTATTTGTCCTTCTTGCTGAACTGTCTGATATTGCACTAAGGAGAATATATCTTTTTAGAAAAACAACAATGTAGTCACTGTTTAAAGGTTAGAAACTCAGGGCATGGAATTCTTACCAAACACCCTGAGGTTACAGCAAAATTTCCACCCTGGCATTTCATCATGTGCTGAATCCTTCTCTCAACCTGAGCTTGGTTTTATGTAAATACTTGTTCTCAGGTTAGGCAAGTGTCTTCCGCCATGATGTTCACACAAAGAACTGAATTGATCCATTCACATCCTAAGCACACTTGTTAAGAGGTTTGTACTCATATGCCCTGGACTGGCCACTGGGGAGAAGTGGGTGGATGGACATTTATCTGGTATGCAAACACATCACTGACTCCTGCTAAGTACATAAAGAAATTCTGCCTGTCAGAGATATTTTCATTTTAGTCACAATTTGAAGGTAATTCTCCTTCCCATGGGCAACAGGAAGACTTACTTGTCAATCATTCCCTTCTGCTTGAGGATGCGGTACACTTCGGCAGAAGTCTGAGGTCCCTGGAGTTTCTGCCCATTCAGCATTTCCTTCTCCAAGTCTTCAATGGTCTTTAAAACAAAGGTTAAAAGAAGTAAGAAATAAAGGAGGAAGAAAATCTCCAACAGTGACCAGAGAATCACTTATTTCAAGAGGTGGATTGAGGTGGAGAATTTCGAGTCCCTGCTGCAGACCACAGAAAGAACATATGCAAGATAAAGGACCCAGGAGGTCAGAACTTTGAGGTGAAGACAGAACAAGCCCAGAAGACTACAAATGCTGACATTTCCCCTCACTGGGCTATGTTCACACCCAGCTAGGAGTCTTGACAGAAGAGGGAGGATAGAATAGAGTTGGGGGGAGCACAGGTGAGGGGTTACCTTTCCCGTCCTGGCAAATGCCTCAGCCACCCTGCGGTTTCGGCCTCCATAGCAGGTAGTGATCAGGTCAGCCACCCCACAGCTCTCCAAGAAGGTGGCTGTGGACACCTGGCCCGTGCAGAAGATTTTGGCAAACGAAATCATTTCCATAAGTCCCAGACGGATGACTGCAGCCTTGGTGTTGTCCCCACAGCACAGGCCATCACAGAACCCGGCTCCCACGGCGACGATGTTCTGCAAAGGAGACGGCAAAGCTGGGAGTGTGGTCTCAGTGGGAGAGAGATCAAGGCAGGGACACACTGGGGGACATCAGCTCCACCTGGTCCAGGACAACTCCTGAGTTTGGCTTTTGCATATGTGGGTCAGGCAGAGCTCAACTTGATGTCAGAAGGAAAGCAGCAAGCAAGGAGTGGTTGACAGTCTGTGCTCAAATGCTATATGGACACACTGCTTTACCTTTTGTGAATTTTTTAATTGAATACTATCTGGGAGTCTTGGGGTTGCGCTGTGGGTTAATGCACTGGACTGCAAAGTTGATTTGCAGGTCGGCAATCTGCAAGGTCGGCAGTTTAAGCTCACCAGCTGCTCCTTGGAAACCCTATACAGGGTTGCTATGGGTCAGAACTGACTCGACGACACTTAACAACAACATGGGAGTCCCTGGGTGGTGCAAACATTTAACATGCTTGGCTGCTAACCAAAAGGTTAAAAATTCAACTCCACCCAGAGGTGCCTTAGAAACAAGCCAGGTATCTACTTCCAAAAAAAATCACAGTCTCAAAAACTGTATGGAACAGTTTTACTCTGGATCCAGATGGAGTTGCCTTGAGTTGGGGTTGACTTGATAGTCACTGTTTTATTTTAACTAAGCTGTAACATTCATACACTCCTGATGTGGCACTGTAGGATAAGCACTGAACTGCTAACCACAAGGTATGTGGTTCCAATCCATCAGCCGCATCTCAGAAACCCTACATAGGGTCACTATGAGTCAGAATCGACTTGACGATACTTATTAACAACAACAATGGAAGACAGAGCATGTCTTAAAGCATCAGTTCTATAAAATGTGAGGGATAATAGACTCTCATTGATTTGGCGATGAGAGAGAGAAGAGGAAGGGCTGGTTGGTCCGAAGTGTGGTGAGACCTGGGGACTCCTGAGCCCATGGACAAGGACATAGCCACAGAGGGCTAGAGATGAGAGTGAAGGATCCAGCTGATATGAAGTGAGGGGAGATGCACAAGAACACCCAAACTTTCAGACAGTACCCATTTGACCATGCTTGGATGGCTTGATGATCAGAACTCGACTAGAGGAAAATTTTTAAAAAATACAATATTTTTAAATAAAGGAAACAAGTGTAAATTTTGATGGATGGACTATAAAGGCATGGAGTGAGTGGCTTACAAGTATTAAGAGGGAGTTTAGTTTCACAGTGTGCGGGGGCAGGTAGAAAATCCTGATTGAATAGTTTTCATCTTGTCTAGATGGGTCTGGTAAAAGGAGATGGGGATAAGATTCTTATGATTTAACAGTGAATAATTGTTATCATGACTAATTTTGACTGTCATAACTGTAAAAGTATTAAGTTTTATAACAAAAAGTGGGGAGTAGTTAATCTTTTAGTACAGGAACAGGGGACCCTAGGACCACCAAGGGAGAAGAGCATGAGTGGAATGTGGGATCCTCTCCAGAGAAGCAGCAACACCAGAGATGGAGGCAGAGATGAGGAGATGGAGAGATAGAGCAGCTGAGGACTTTAGACTCATGGAAAGAGAAAGGTTATGTGCTGGTGGCTAGGAGACAGGCTTTCAGAATGTGCCCTTTGGTTGTTTAAATGATTATATATATATTCTGAAGTGTTTTTGTGAATATCCCACCCCCTCCCCCAAAAGAAAAACAAAACAGAGGGAATAGAAGCAAATGTTGAGTGATGATGCACAGAGGAGATTGTTATCATTGCAAAGAAATGACGTACGTAAAACCAATGTTCTCCCATGTAAATTATCACTCAGTTCACAATAAAAACTTGTATATTAAAAAATGTGAGGCACCATCAATAATAGCAAAGATCAAAAAAGTAGAGAACAATAAGTGTTGGTGAGGATGTGGAGAAACTCAGACCCTCCTACATTGCTGGTGGGATTACAAAATGGTCCAACCACTCTGGAAAACAATATGGTGTGTTCTCAGAAGGTTAGAAATAGAGATAGCTTATGATCCAGCAATTCCTCTACTTGGTATTTATCCAAAAGAAATATAAGCTATAATGCAAGTAGATATATACACACCAGTGTTCATAGCAACACTATTTATAACAGTAAAAAGATGGAGACAGCCTAAACGCCCATCAATGGAAGAACGGATAAACAAACTGTGGTACATACGCTACTTTTGATAAAATACACCATGGAATACTACGCTACCCTGAAGAACAACAAAGAAGCAGGAAGCCACCGCATAACATGGATGAACCTTGAGGACATTATGCTGAGGGAAATCAGTCAGTCACAAAAGGAAAAATACAGCATAGAGCCATTATTGTAAAAGATTAAGAAAAAGCACCCACACTGAAAGGGGGAAAAATTATCTTTTAGCTACAAAGGCAAGAAGTGACTGGCTTACAAGCTTTCAATAGGGAACCTAGCTCCAGAGGATACAGGGAAAGGTAGAACCTCCACTGAATTGTTTCCAACCGGTCTGGATGAGGTTAACAAAAGGTGAGGGGGAAAGGACTCCTATGGTGCAATAGGGAATGATTGCTATCAGGTCTGACAATGAGTGTTGGAAAGGTAAATATAAATGTTTGGTAACAAAAGGAAAGGAGCTGCTGATTTTACAGTCAAGGAGCAGAGATTCCTGGAACTGTCAAGGGAGAAAAGCGAAGTGCAAGATCCGGTCCAGAGAGGCAGTGACACTAGGAATGGAGGCAGAGGCAATGATGTGGACAGAAGGAGTGGTTGGGGACTCTGGACTCAGGGAGGCAGAAGGGTTGTGTGCTGGTAGCTGTGGGGCAGGCGTGTGGGGTGTACCCTTTGGGTGTTTGATGATACATGCAGGGGACTGTGATCACTGCAATGAAACAAAGTACGATAGGATGAATGTAAAGATAATGTTCACCCATGAAAACTAACACATAATTCACAATAAAACCTTAAAAAAAAAAAAGTGAGGGATAAAGAGAAACACAGAACAGACATGGGGTGGGGGGTGTTATTTTTCTGGTAGATATGCTACTTTTGATAAAAATACATCAAACAGCACTGATGTGGCCAGGCTCACCAGGAGAAAAACACATGATAACTTGACACTCACTCACTCAGAGACTAAATGAGTCACAAAATCACTTCAGATGAAAAAACAACAAAAAAAAGCAAAGATTACATGAGCCCTTTGGAAGCTTTCATCTAGTTCCAGTAGATATACAGACAGGAACAATCTCCTCCCTGCCTGGGCCGAATGAAGAGGGTTAGAGAATACAGGATCAGTCTATAAAGGGTTCTCAGTGCATCTTCTTTTCTTCCTCAGTAATAACACTAGAGCTTATTTTGTGGGTACCGGTGATTTTTCTCATTGTGATGGATTCAGAAAGGAAAAACTAGAAAGTTTCTAACAATAAACAGAAGACTGGCATGAACTTATTCAGGTTTTAGATATATCCATGCTACTTTGCGTCCTAAAAAGTTTCCCAATGAGGGTTAGAGCATCAAAAGACAATGGGATAGCTTCTCTCCCTACGAAGGCTGGGCTCCATTTGCTCCTTGGTTCCTACTGATTCAGGAAGAGCTGTGAGGAACTGGGTCTTATGAATATATGGATTCATTAGTTATTCATTTCTTCCTGCATCTGCAAAAGCTTTTCAACCCTTGCTGCCACGCAGCACTGCAAATTGTGGGTATCATCAGCTTCTTGATAGTGCCCATCTACAACTGTGATGGGGTAGTCAAGCACTTAACTGTTTCAGCTACCCAGCATCCTTCCTATAAGTAAGTTATAAAACAAACTCAGTGCTGTCTGACCCAGGGGAACCCCGTGTGGTACAGAGTAGAGCTGCCCTGTAGGATTTTCTTCATGGAGCACATTGCCTGAACTTTCTTCCACAGTGCTGCTGGTGGACTTGAATCACCTACCTCTCAGTTAGTGGCAAAGCATTTGCCCCACCCAGGGACTCTCCTGCAAGGCTGATACTATTACTAGCTGCAGTGAGAGATGAGGCTTCTCGGGCACACAGCGGAGGCGGTGGCCCGAGCTTACACAGTTAGGACAGATAACCTGGACTGAGTCCTGTCACTCTGCTGCCTCACGTTCCACAGACTTGAGGAGGGAAGCACCAACTGTCCAACAACAACAGAGAGAAGAATGTGTCTGTGCGGCTCTAGGGCCAGTGAGTACAAGGGACTGAGGGGCCACCTAGAGTCAAGACAAGAAGGAACTTTCTAGCAGGAAGCACTGACCTCTCCCTGACTCATCTGACTGAAAAGGTTCAGAGGCACAGGCGTGAGCAACTCATCACTGGACAATCCAAGCAGGGCCTACATGGATGGTCCAGAACCCTAAGGCAGTGCTTTTGACCTCTTGGGTGACACAGCTCTCAGAAAACAAGGGTGTTACTTCAGAGGCTGTTAAAGATTATGACCTCCCAAAACACCTGCTGGAATCCTAACCCAAGGATAAAATGAAGCCACCGTCCATAATCTAATCTATTGTAATGTGATCATCAGTAGGTCAAGGCCACACCTAGTGAGGGTAGATTCCAAACCTCAACAGTTTTGAGTTGTAACAACAACAGGTTAGACACAAAGGGTACACAAGGGGTAGGCAGAAGCCATGTGAGGCTCGTCTACAAGCCAAGGAACAAAAAAATGCCTAGATTGACCAACAAAGAAGGAATCCACATGGCCAAGACCCTGAGTTGGACTTTTAGCCTCTAGAACGGCAAGAAAATAAGTTTCTGTCCTTTACAGTCATCCACCCCCTGTGATACTTCCCAGGCATTGGCACTAGGACAAAGGCACATGGAGAAAGTAGATGAGGCGGCCTGGGCTGGAGCTGCAGCTGTCCTCTCAGCACAAAGCTTCCCTCTGGGGGAGCAGGGCATCATGACAGGGTAAGCCCCACTCTTTTGGGGGGTCTCTGGGCCCTGACCCAGCTTAATCATCTTATGGTGGATCTTAAAATCCACATGCTTCCCCTCTACCACTTATCACTGTCAACAGGAAAATAAATACTAT